AAACATTATATTTTGGAAAACATTAGGATATTTAAGTACAGCAAGCTAGATATGTTATCTAAAATCATATCATACTCCCTTTAAAAGAGGGAGTTGTGGAAAAACTTTTTAAGGACTATACTACCCCTATTCTTGTTAGCCTTCTTGTTTTGATGATGATTTACAAACAATTTACATCTAATATTGTTTGTCTAGTGTTTGTGTTTTATATTTATTCTAGGCAAACAATATGTTGGAGGATGGATGGAATAGAGCTTCAACGATGATATCCAAGCCTTGCAAATTCAAAGTTAAAGATCAAGTTCAAGCTTCATCCGCATGTGTACCAAGTTGAGCTTCAATGAAGATCAAGATCAAGCTTGGGTATATTAGTTTAGGGTTTATATTATGTGTGTTATATACTCTAAGCTCAATATTATATTCACACACACATTTATTAGTTTCTTAGTATATATATATATAGTTATATACATATACATCTTGGTTTTTAGTTTTATCCACAAACAAAGTTTTTACAAATAAATTCCAAAAAATTATGTATACATGCTTGTTTTCTATGTGGATAAGTTGTTTTGGTTTAATTTCATAGATATGAAACAAATATATTTTCATATACATACTCATACGTTTTACTTTCTATTGTATTTGTGAAAATATTGTTTTCTTGGTTTATAGACTTAACAATAATCATATACATCTTTTATTAAGTCTACAAAATCATTTTGTAATGTTTCAAAACATGGTTAAGCTAAAATGTCAAGATTCATATGTTTACATTTTCATGTTTTGGACTATTTTGCAAAATGATGATATTTCTCATTTGGGAAGTCTTTTTAGAAAACCAGTTTTTGTAGCATGTGTATTATCATGTCTACAATCATTCCCCAAAGTTTTACATTTTTCTGAATTTATTTGATATTTTTAAACAGGGTTTTAAAATCAGCAAAACAGTTTTTGAATATGTCAGATTTCGGTCGACCGCACCGGTCGACCGAACATGAGTTCATATTCTCACTGGGCGACAGAGAGTCTGTCGGTCGACCGGTCCGGTCGACCGATGAAAATTTTCGGTCGACCGACGAATTTTCCGGTCGACCGACGAGTGTTCTTCAGCTTCCAACGGCTAGTTTTTTGACCGTTGCCTTAGGGCTGTTTTGTCTTTTGCTCTGGTTTCTTGGCTGAGTTGTGAGAGGGTATAAATACCCCATTGTCTTCAACTCTCAAGCTAACCAAGAAATGTTTTAAAAGAAAAGAAAAGTTTAAGCAAGGGTTTAGGGTTTTACTGTTTGTTTGAGTTTGAGTTTCTGTTTACAAAGGAGGAAGCTTTAACTGCAGATTGAGGGATTCATTCTCAATCCCCTTCATCCTCTTCTTTGTGTTTTAGAGAAGTTTTTCTAACTCTTTTCTCTAGCAATTTCATTACTGATTTTTATATCCTTATTATTGCTAGTTTGCTATTTGAGTTAGATTTCATTTCACTCATTGTTACACACACCCACATTGAGCTTTTAGTATTTACATACATAGTATAGTTGGGTGGTGAGAGATTGTAACCTTGAGTTGTGCTTTCATTGTGTTCTCATCTATTGTAGAGAACAAATTTATATTTGTTACATTGTGAGTGTTGTAAGGTTTTCGGTGAGCTAGAAACCGAGTGTGTAGTGAGGTTTTCGGTGAGCTAGAAACCGAGTGTGAGGAGTGACGTTGATCGGTGAGCGTTGAAAACCGATACTGTGAGGTGTAAACGTTATTCGGGTGAACGTAGAAAACCCGGTTGATAGTGGATTTCTCCCCGGGAGTGGGGAGCGGAGACGTAGGACGGAAGGTCCGAACTCCGTGATCATATCTTGTGTTTGAGTGTGCTTTGGCGTTTATTTATACTTGTGTTTATAATTCTTGTTGCCATTGTCATTAGCTCATCATTTATATGATCCACTATCTAGTTCACATTGTTTACCCCTTGTGTTAGTTTATATATCCTTGCATATATCATATAGTATACCTCTTTGCTAGGATATATCACCTTGTGTATATTGCATATTCTTGCACATAACCCTTTGTAATTAATTTTAATTGGCATTTAAATCGGATTAGATTAGCATAAGACCCTAATCACCCCCCCTCTAGGGTCTAACAATTCTTTGTTGATATTACATTCTAATACTAACTAAACTAAATTAATTATCATTGTTAATTAATTATACTATATGTCACTTTAAGTTTGTATAATTTGGTCCCTAAAACTTCCAACGCTATTGTAAAACTCTACATCATATCAATTATTAGTAATATAAAATAATATATTAATAGATAATTGCATGTTAATAAAGTATTTATGGAAAAAGTAGAAAACATAGAATTGTCCTAAAATTATACCATGAAACTCATATAGGAAAATTACAAAGAGCATTCTTATGTTTATGTAAGAGGACAAAATGTAAAAACATTATATTTTGGAAAACATTAGGATATTTAAGTACAGCAAGCTAGATATGTTATCTAAAATTTAAAAAATGTGCAACAAGATACAATTGGAGGTATATAAATATAATTACTATAAACTATAAAAGATTTAAGTTCAATTAAGCCTATAAAAGATTTAAAACCTTTGTTATCCATAAACAATAATATATGAACCCATTGATAAATAATATTAATCATATAATATGAGGCCAAATGGTTAGCTTATATTTATATAGTAGAGTAGATGCTGAAAAATTGAAGCATCATATTTTGAATGAGTCTCAAGATTTTGAATTATTTCCTAAAATTATATACTTCGCTTTAAAAACTTTAGAAGAGGCTTCTGAAGGACTACTACAAAGGGTTGGACATCAGATAAATATTAAACAAATAAAATTCATGATATCAGATTGTAAAATTTAGGGATGTTTATGTAATATTGGGTATCATATGAGATAATATTCATACATAACATGATATTGTAATATGTAATCTAACATATTAATGAATTTTAAATATAATAATTTGCATCAAGAAATATGCTTAAGATTTGGGAGAGCCGAGAGTGGAGAGATTTGGAGAAGAATTGTGGCCTTTGTGGGTTTTGTAGGTTCTAATTTTATTTCCCAAACACGATCCAAACTCGAGTTCATAATCAAATAAAAAATGACATGATTTTCTCAATATCTTCGAATAGATATATTGACCATATTTTCGATAACGGTCGATATATCAAAAAAATCACCAAACAAAAGAAAACAATAGGAAATATTATCTAGATAAAGCCTTTAACCCGATATATTGGTCGATATAGCAATATATCGGCAAATATTTCATAGGATACCTATAAGAGCAAATATGTAAAGGTTAGTTCCTTGATTTTAAATATACAATGATTTTATGTTATTCCCTGAAATGTTTTAAATTGCTTATAATTTAGGGACTAATATTAAATTATTAAAATTTTTTGATTTTGTTTGACATTGGATAGATATGAATTATTTTGTTAAAATACAATCAATATGAGTGCATAATATGTGTAAATTTTTCTCAGACTATATTTATAATTTTCTAAAACTAGAGAGTAATCATTTTGATAGATCAATTAGTAGTTGGGAAGATGTAAAAAGAGTACAACAACTGATTTTAAAATTGATCATATAATTTATATTTTCTTTCTTGATTGAATTTGCACATTATAACTTAGAGAATTCTAGAAAAAAGTTCTTGAATATCTATAATACCGGTCGCCTGATAAACAATAGGTGGAAGTGATTTTTTCATAACCGAACAAAATCCTTACTAACTAGATAAAGTCTATCATTTTTCTTTGATGAATTCAAGAATTTATTTTTTTATTAATAATTATAGGCTTTTTTCGTATTGGTCCCTTACATCATTAATATTTTAAAATTATACATTTAAATTTGTAATTAATCTTAAATCGTTAATATTTTAAGGTTTTAAACATCACTATTTTTTTTGTAGACAAAAATGTTAAAACCACACATGGAAATATCCAAAAAAATTAATATATTATGATATTTATAAAGTTTTTTGCAACTATATTATAGTAAAAATAAATAAACCTGAAAAATATTTATGATATTTGATCACGTGCAGTGCACGTGCATTCCACCTAGTTTATACAGAAAAGAGAGAGTTGTAGTCTCTCAAATTTCCCCAAGTTTTAAGCTACAACTACATGGTGAAAAACTAGAACTTTATTATTTACTTTTTTTATATTTTATTTCTCCATCATCTTAAAACCACACCATAAAATTAGATCACATCTCTTCTTATCATTCCCTTCTATTTAATATTATTATTTTCTTTTTATTAAAATATTTGAATTTTATAATTAATTTAAATTTTAAAATTACAAAATTCACGTTTTATTAAAAATTAATTAAAATTGAGAAATGATGGAATGATGTCTGGTATATCTAAAAAGAAAGAGAAAAAAGGTAATTTTTTTTTAATTTATATTACAATAATAATTCCAAAAAAATCAAAAAGTTAATCTTATACTCTATCTAATAGTTCTTCAAGATTAATTAACACTATAATAATAATAATAATAATAATAATAATAATAATAATAATAATAATAAGTTTTAAAATGTATAAATAGTAATATGATCATCAAAATACATGACTTGTATGCTTATTGACTTCTAAAAATTATCCTTAATCATTCTAACAATTGTCCCACTAAAATATCACGTCTTAAAATATCACTCCCAATTATCTCATTAAAATATCCTACGTTAAAAAAAATTATCCCATAATAAAAATTATTTCACTTCTATAAAAAATGTTCTAGCTGACTAACACCCCTAATTATTATTACAGTAAGCCACAAAAATTAGCCTTAAAAGTTAGTCCACGTGGTTAATTAAAAAAAAAAAAACTATTCAAAGATGGTTTACATATCAATTTTTACAATCACAAACGCTTTCAACAAAATTTGCAACTCGTACTGCTCCTAATAAGCAAAAAACGCCCTTAACATTTCATATTTGCCATCCCAACCGACAAAAAAAAAGCTCACTTTCTCTTCTGCACGTCGATCTGCTCGCAATCTCTCCGTCCCCTTTCGACCCCATCGACGCCGAAACCCCGCCCTCGTCTTCCTCGAATTTTCGAGCCCAACGATGGCCGGCGACTCGCCCTGCTTCCAGTGCTTGCAGCGCTGCGTCGAGTCCGAAATATCGGCCGACGTCATCTTCCGCTACGGAATCGCCGATTCCCCTCTCCCCTTCGGCTCCTCCGCCGTCGTTCAGGTCTCCCCTCTCCCCAAAGATTGGATCTTTTTAACTTGTTGTTATGTGGGTTTAGAATAACTTGGGGATTTGTTAACTCTATGAAGCTTAATCGGCCTCTTAATGAGAGTTGGGCTTATTGAATCTTGAGATTTTGATCGTTTTGAGGTATAATTTTCTGCTCCGATTGTTTGTGATGTTTTTGAGGGCTAACGGAGATTGATCGGATTAGAGCAGAACAAGTTGGTTAGATCGGAGGCAAGTGTACTAGGCAAATACTTCATAACGTACAGCATTGCTAGGTGCACATCAAACTGGGATGTGAAATGAGATTATTTAGTAGTTTAACAATGTGAGCACTGCGCATGGAGGAGAGTGGCGGTTGAATTGTGCTCACGTAGTGTTCAGTTTCACAGTGGTCATATATTTAGTGTTGCATGGATATCAAGATTTGTAGAGAAGAAGATGCCTTGATCTTGCATATAATTTGCTGTTGATAGGGTACCCAGGACAGCAGCTTTCATTCATTGGTTTCGGTCAGGTCAAAATTTTGTTCATTTCAGTTGAGTTCGCCAATCCTAAGAGAGGGTTGCACTTTGTGCTGACAAATTAAACAGTTATTATTTTGCAAAGATGCTTCATTTTCCACTATTGAAAGAAGTAGAGTAACTATCAGTACCTATTAACTATTGACTAGAGGGCATCATGTTTCATAGTAGCAACTGCATCGCTTGAAAGAGCTATAAAGTCTTCTTCATATCTGAATAGTAAGGTAGCAAAAGGTGCAAACATTACTAAGAATATAGAACGAACAAGGAAAGCATCTTGGATCAGATGCATCCTAGCCATGAATAAGTTTGCACAGTCATGAAAAACTCGTCTTTCTTCTTCCCACCACTTCTTCTTATCCATGTCAGCTTCTTCTCAACCTTCACTACTTTCCTTCCCCATCAAAATTTTCCGTTCTGTATTTGACACAGGTTCCGGTCGACCTTTGCCCTAGGTTTTTGCTTCCTCATAAGGTTGACATCAAAGGGAACCGTGCCACTTCCCCAGAATAAAGAAATAGCATATTTTACGGGTGAATTGTAACAACTTCATGACTGTCGCTATTTGTTTCTTTGTTTTTTTGCCTTTGAGATATTAGTTTCCTTTCTTGACATCAAATTAGCTAGATTGGAAAAAGCATTAGGGGTTTGTTTCTTCTGACCACTTTCTACTCTTCTTCTTCTGTGAGTATCAGGAAAATGTGGATCGCCACTGTTAACATTATAGTTTCCATTTGCTCTGTTGATTCCATTGTAGTCCCCATTTCCTACTTGAAGTAGCACATCTGTGCTCCTATTGGAAACAACCGGAATTTGACTATGTTTTGATTGTCCATTTTGCTTGCCTTGAATGTTTATCATGTTCATGTTATTTATCATCCTATCAAAGTTAGTCCGCAACTTTATTTTCATCATTTTTTGCCTTGAAGACAAGCAGGTTGATTTGGAGTTGGAGAAACTTTAAAACAGTATTCAAACTACTTTGAACATGCTTGTTCCTACTTCAACTATCCTGACCAGTGATATTTTTTGATGTGCTTGAGGGTTTCTCATTTGGTGCTCTCATCGATTTTCCTTCTCTAACCACCTTAGGCGTATACTTCTTAGATATGGGCTTCAGTTGTGGCATCTTATTTAAGTCTATTCCTTGATTTTTGAAAGCTCATCGTTTTACAAGCCCATGTTTATTATCCTCTTCATCTTGTTCACCTCATTGGTCATCAAAATTGTTGGCAAGGTCATCACTTCACTGACAACCTATGAAGCACGGACACGCATAACATGAAGCCGTGTCGTGTCGTGTCCGTGTCGGATACACGTGTCGAGCATAACATGAAGCCGTGTCGTGTCGTGTCCGTGTCGGATACACGTGTCGAACACACGTATCCTATGTATTTTTTAGGATTTGCCTCGTGTCGGATACACGTGTCGAACACACGTATCCTATGTATTTTTTAGGATTTGCCTCGTGTCGGCGTGTCGGATGGCGGTGTCGGATCCGTGTCCGTGCTACATAGCTGACAACTATAGTAGCCACATTATCTTCAGGCAATGAGTTGAGGTTTGGTAAGCAAGGCAATGTCATTCCATCTGAAATAAAGAATAAGGGTTAATTACGAATAGACCCTTGCTGTGTCACTCTATTGCGAATAGACCACTATGTGTCACCCTATTGTGAATAGAACCCCAATAGTTCTTTTCGTGGTGAGCAGATCCTATGTAGTCCCCAAATGAGAAGACTTGTGCTTAGTGAACTTTTTTACTCAAAAAAGTCAAAAAAGTCACAAAATTACCAATAAAACTATAGGAGTCTATCTGCCTCCTTAAGCTTTTTTAATAATTTTTAGAGTTAAACAAATTCATTAGGGGGCTATTCACAAAAATAGAAATACTGGGATCTATTTACAATTGGGTGATACTACATGGGGTCTATTCGCAATTAACCCAGCAAAAAAATTAACAAACTTCAATAATGCACATCAACTTAAAAAGAACTAGAAACTGCAACCAACTTATCACTCCCCTAAATACACAGTGTATGTCCAGATGTGTGACAACGACAACACGTGCAAAGTATTTGTTACCAATTTAAGAAGAATAATTCTTAGTAGTAGACTATCTGTACGAAGTGTTTTATAATACTTTAAGAAAAGTAATTTGTAATAAACTACTTGTTGCTAATTCTAAATAGTAGTTTGGCTTGATACAATATTCATACTTTAATTTAGTGTTTTGAAACCTTTGAGTATCAGCAAAGTTTATTTTAATGGTAAATTAAAAAAAAATCTCCTGCAAGTTTGTCCGACTTTGGGATAATAACATATACTTTACAAATTTCACTTAAACCCCTTCAAGCTTATGGCATTTTAGAAACCCTCAAATATTTTCAATGTTTTCCAACTAACCCCCCTAACAGTGTTAGATGAACTTATAAAAATAACAAAATACCCTTTTCAACCTACACTCTAACTGTTAAATTAAATAAATTAATCAAGGGCATTTTGGTCAAATTAGACCAAACTTATGGAGGTTTATAGAAATAACCTTCAAAAATATTAAAAAGATACAAAGGCGTTTTTCGTCTTCTGGCTACCACAGATCGCAGGTAAATTCATCTGCCTTACGCTCGTGGGATCGATAGTGACTAGAAGTCTCTTGTATGCCATCTGAGTTATCCCTTACATCAGTGACTGTAGCTCCTCTAAACCATGACCGTCGCTCTACTGATGCATGTTGATAATAGTTGAATTGAACAAATTGGGTAATGAGATCACTGGCCCCAGCGGCGTCGACAGCCCCTTTAGTGTTATGAGCTATGTCGAGGTCATTAGAACTCATTGACATTGGTTTCCTAAAATTTTTGGAACCTCTATTCGAAAACCAAAAGATGACAAAAGAGTAGAAAACTAAGGGGAAAAGGTGAGAGTTCTTATTTTCAAATTAGGATTTCCCTCCTCTACACCTCTTCCAGGTTCATTTATTGTCTATGGCGTAGAGTGACACAGAGAGGGGACTGTGATGTTTGGCGAGAAAGATAGGGAAGTGG